CTGCCAACGGAGCACAGTCTTCCCCGCTCAGGGGCATTCTTTCCATCTCCCTGAGGGAAAGCACTGAGACAATGCCAGGGACCATCAACTGACCGATAAATGTCTTCTCTTCGTCCACACGTCAGGACAAACGGCATCTGCATGTGCCGCGAACATCTCCTTTCTCCTTCGACCCTTCAGTATCCCTCTCTTCTGCCAGAGCCCCCCTTCCTTTGGTTCCTCCTCACCTCCTCCCCTGGACACAGTTGGTCAAAGTGGAACTGGGTGCCTGGTTCTCTCCTTACAAAAGGGTGGGATGCAACCCAAGCTGGATCCTGGACCTTGAACAGAAGGATCTGGAGACTAAGAAGTGGGTGGAGCTCATTTTTCCCCAGTGGGGTGCCTTGAACAGAGCGTTCCCGGCTAAGACTTGCTGGCCTCTGGAATTCCTGGTCTCCAGCCTCCCAACTATTCTCTTGGTGGCTCTTGTCATCTTGCGTAAGTTGCATTCACTGGAGTTGGTGTGACACTTGCAGCTGAGGGGCGCCGGCTGAGCGGTGGTTTCTTCTTCGCTGGTATGTCCTGTGTGATGGGGCTCCATGCAGAGAAAGGCCTGGAGGGACCACTTCTGTGTGCCCCACAGTGATTCCCTAATAAGAGATGTTGCGCTGTTCCAGACGCCTTAGCTCACCCAGTCAATGCAGTTTTGTACTGAGAGGCCAGCACGTGACCTCTGAGGGTGTGTAATTCGTACCTAGAGAGTTTATTCAGCCACTGAGCTTCACAGTTAACAAAGGAGGACATGGAATGAGGAGTGGACACACATCAGATGCCACCAATAATGGTGACATTCGGGGTGTTCGATCTCTTACATGACACAGTTGTTAAAGCATGAGTTTCGGTGTGTCCCAAGGTTTCACCTCTGACCCACCTCACAAATCCATTTCCAAATTCTTACCAATAATGTTGTAACAAGGATTCAAATGCAAGTGTAAAATTGTTGGACCCCCCTCCTTGTTTGGTGTTCAGACGTGATGTCAGATTGAATCCTTGACCACGAGAGCGGACAGATGTCTGGAGATCTTTTTTTTTTTTTTTTTTTTTTTTTTAAGATTTTATTTATTTATTCATGAGAGACAGAGAGAGAGAGAGAGAAGCAGAGGAACAAGCAGGCTCCCCACAGAGCAGGGAGCCCGATGCGGGACTCGATCCCAGGACCCTGGGATCATGACCTGAGCCGAAGGCAGATGCTTAACCATCTGAGCCACCCAGGCGCCCCTGTCTGGAGATCTTTTAACGGTGAAGGGGAGGGCTGGGTTCGGCGGGGCGGTCAGCGGGAGCATACCTGTCCAGTCCCGGCTGAGCCAGGCCCGCGTCTGAGCAGAGGCTCTTGCTGCAGGAGCCGCCGCTCGCTGGCCTTGGAGGGGACATACATTTAGTGGGACTCTCTCTCCCTCTCTCTCTCTCACACACACACACACACACACACCATGCAGCGTGGCCAAGGCAGTGATTTTCATGCTTCAGATTAGGAAGCAAATCATGAAATTGATTTTGGGGTAAAAACAAGCTTTTTAAAAATGACATGGAATAGAAGAGCGTCACATAGCAAAGGATGGCACAGGACAGTCTTTTAAGAAGGACCAGAGTTAAGCGGCCAGCTTTTGATCTCGGCTCAGGTCTTGCTCTCAGGGTTGTGAGTTCAAGCACCGTGGTGGGCTCCACGCTGGGCATGGAGCCCGCTTCAAGAACAAGGACCAGAGTGCAGAGCTGCCTGAAGCGAGAGAAGCGTTGTCTAGTAAAGCTTGCCTAGTGTGTGTGTGCATGCGTGCGTGCGTGTGCGTTTGCATGCACGTCCTCTGTGCTGGGTTGGTTCTGCCTGCCCCCGTTGGCTGCCCATGCACACACACATCTCAGCTCTCTTCAGAGACGTCCCCCGATAACTGGGAACTGGCCGAGGTGGAAGCTTCTACACCGTGGAAATAGGCCAGTTGGGCTTTCGGAAAACAGGGCTCCCCTGCCCTGCTCCCCATGAGCACCGGTTGGTGGACACCTACCAGCAGACCCTGGGTTACCGTTAGGAAGCAAAGAAGCAAACCTTACACACTAGCCTGTCCGAGTTACTGGAGGATCTGAGATGTGTGTCCAGATGCATCCTGGGACACACAGAATCAAGAAGAAAACAACTTGTCTGAAGGAGTTTGTGACTCGCTGGATTCAATGCTGCCTTATTTAGAAGCTCAAATTATCCTGTTTGCTGAAATGACATCAAGGTTTGGATGGCAGCTTTTTGTTTTCCCCTTAGATTTGATAAAGACCTTTTATGAGGTAGGGATATTGCTATGGCCTCAATGTTGTGTCCTCCATGCCCCAAATGCATAGCCTGAAATCCTAACCCCCAAAGACGGTGTCAGGAGGTGAGGACTTGGGAGGTGAGTGGGTCACGAAGGTGGAGCCCTCGGGAATAGGATCAGTCTTACATGATGGGATCAGGTCTCACAAATGACCCCAGAGAGTGTCCTTGAGGCGGGAAGAGATCTCCCCGGCACCCGCCCACGCCGGCACCTCCATCTCAGCCTTCTAGCCTCCAGGACCAGGAGACGCAAATCTCTGGTGCTGGTCCGCCAGCCCATCCGTGGGATTCTGTTGCAGTCACCCAAAGGGACCAGACAGCTATGAACTGGTCAGATCCGAAGCCTTGGCTTCTGTCCTCAGGCCCGGGAAGGGCGTGACGCCGCATTACCCAGACCGGACTGAGGTGTGGAAGACGCGGTCTCCCTTGGCGCTGGAGGAGCCGCAGGTGGACCCCAGGGGGGCACGTCCGCAGCGGGATGTCTGGATGCAGGAACCGCCGCCCCCTCGGTGCTCCCGCCCTGGCTGCAGTCTCTGCCCTCCCCTGCTGCCTGTCCTCCAGCCCGAGCCCAAGGCACAGGCTTCCCTGCACTGAAATCAGGGGGAAAGAGACACATTCCTGTGCCTGCACTCTTCCTTCAAAAGTAGGCAAGCACAGGTTAGAGGAAAGTGATGTGTTCCCATAGCAAGTGGTAGAAAAGCCTGCTTTCCTCTGGGACACGAGCACCAGCCCTCACTGTTCAGTAGAAGCAACAGAGTAACAGCCGTGTCTCTCCTGGAGACTACGGCTGGAGAAGCCCTCAGCGGGCAGCGGCCGGGGACCCTCCCCGGCTGGCGACAGGCTCAAGGGCGGGTCACAGGTGGATCCGGGGCCGCCCTCTGGCCGTTGCACCAGCGCCTCCCGGGTCACCATTCCCCGGGGAGGGGGTTGCAGTCACGCGTTCCCTGCTTTTGGTGTGTTCCCGAGCCTCCCGGCAGGTCTCCTTACACGGAAATGGATGCAAAGAGCCAGGCGGAGGAAGCGGGTTGTCCTCAGCGCGGTGCCGGCGCACGTTTCTGTCCACCAAGACTTCGTTTCGGGGTTTCCTGCACCCGGACACGAGCACTTCATAACAAGTGTTTCCCAAACTCTGGCCGTTTGCGTGCGTTTTCGTAATTTGTCGTATCTGCGTACCATCTGTATGGCGGCTTATTTAATACTTTTTTGAAGCCAATTCAATTTGCTTTTAAAGAAAATTTTCATAGTTGGAAAGCCAGCATCACGCACATAAACAGAAAACGGAAACAGTGGAAATGAGAAACCACATCACTAAATCTTTGTAAGCCTGAGGCCCTCTTCCTCAGGAGGGATTTCAGCCTCAGACTCCAACTTTTTCTTTCAGTTACGCTCTTCAGACAGAAGGATGGAAACGGAATTAAAGTCGTCATCATCAGAAACACCTCTGCCGCTACAGGACCTAACGTACAGCAGGGCGCCGGGGGCCTGTCTTGCTGCCATGGGAGACTGGCCGAGCCGGAGTGTGTGTGCGTGCGCGTGCTGAGCCGGACACATGGGTGGTATACGGGGTGGTGCATTTTCCCCGTGGCAGATTCGAGCCCTGGACAGTTTTATTAGGTTAGGTGGCCTTTTTCCAGGTAAACGTGTCGTCTCCAAAAGTCTGAGAGTACGGAGACAAGAGCGTGTCCCCCATTGCGTGCTGTGCGTGTCCCCCGGGAGCTGGGAAACTCACAGGAGTGCGTGCACAACAGGTAAGACTCCTCGTCGTGCGGGAACCCACTGGCTCAAGTTCTCAGGGGCACCCCTGATGAATTAAGTGGGTGACATGGCGAGGTCGCAAGCTCAACTATCCCGGTTTGGCGAACAGGACCAAGGAAGTGAGCGATGTGCTTCCCCAGGGGGTGCCCTCTGCCGCCCAGCACAGACACATCCCGAAGGACGGGAGTTGCTCCTGCGATGTCCCACCCGTCCTGCCGGAAACACAAAGCCTGCTTCATTTTCCACACTGCTTGGAGTAAATCAAGGTTCATTCTCAAGAGACATCTCCACCCTGATTCTCCGAATCCTGAGTGCTCAGCCCTGCGCGTGGGACAGAGCCGCACATCGTTGAGGGGACCAGCGACTCTCCTGGAGGCCGGCAGAACGAGACGCAGGGTCTCCAGGCCTTCCACTGGTCGGGGACGAGCATCTCCCTGTGCTTACAGTTATTGCCCACACCCCTTATTGCCCACACCCCTTGGCTCCTAAAGGCAAGTCAACTAGCTGATCTGGTGCTCGGTTGAAGAGATAGCTCTGTGTTGGTTTGCCGTGCAGTTTAAAGGAGTTTCACCGATAACGTGGACCACCTACAATGCGTGCCTTGTGCACCAACTTAGACTAACGTTCATGTCACAGAACTTTCTCCTGATGTGACTCCTCTGCATTTCCATAAAAACCTACCCGTTGTAGCAATAAATTAGCTCTAAAGATTTACACAGCCTCATCACCTTTAACCTTGGCTTTCATTTTTAAAAAGGCAGACTTCAGTTACTTAAACAGGAAAAAAATAGTTTGGTTAGAAGAGGAATGTCAGCTAATTTTAGAAAATACATAAAAAGTATAAAGATGAAAACAGGAAAAAAAAAAAGATGAAAACAGAAATGAGAGTAAAGTTTGCGGCGCATCAACTTACTTCAGGACCCACGATCACCATGTAAACATTAGGCTCTTCTTGATGCCATTCTTGGGAAGAAAAAGAGAAAAAAAACATTTTACTGGTTCTGTGCCACAGATGGAAACATCATTAAGTTTAATGTTAATTACGTGCTAATATAAATTATTTCATATTTTGTTCTCATTCATAACAATCCAATTCTACGGATTTGAAATGTAACATTGGACATCGTATGCTTATAAGTAAAATGCTTTTTCTAGAATGTTATGCGTTACCCAGATCTCTCCCGTATTGGACAACCAGGAGCAATGACTCCACAAGCCAATATGGACTTTGGGGTAACTCAGGCAACACAGCAAATCTCCAGATGTGTCCTACAAACTGACGTGTGTAAAACGTTTCCAGATAATATTATGTTATTCTTACAATTATTCACTGTTTTTGTGATTTCCTCAGAAGCCAAGGGCACAGGAAAGTAGAAATGAGTGAGGTCACTACCCAGCGCTCCTATTTTTCTGGTTGTTTCCAGAGGAACCACCTAGAATCAGTTCTGCTCATGTGGAAAGACGGAAACAACAAAACTGAAAGTCCTACAGAGAGGAACGCTGAGACCAGTCCCCAAACAATTCTGTAAACAAAACGTACCTGAGAATGCGTCCACCAAGTAAAGAGGGTCCTTAACTTGTCTAAGTCCACACACCAGGAGAAAGATGTGTAAATTATCAGCATTTTGGTTAATCCCTGCAAGAGAAGAGTTCAGGTATTTTCAGTGGAGAGGAGGCAGCTGGATACCATGGGAGCAAAGACCCCGGGACGGGAAGGTCAGGTGTGAGCCACAGGGCTCCAACCTCTGCCCCTGCCTCCCCGCAACCTTCACACAATTCACTGCACGAATGGACTGCTCCTCCTGGTGGGTGAACCCGAGCTGAGTTTAGCCCAGTAACTGGGCTGTGCAGTGAGGAAGGGGCAGTTCTTATGGAAATGTGAGCCACGGGCCCTGGAAAATATTTGGGTACAATTCCAGAAGAGATTTTCTTCCTGCAAGTAGAGGGGCGCTTTATGTAGTAAGGGATTCCCGAGTCCACGTGTGTTCACACCCTGAGTGCGGACGTGCCCACGGGTACGTGAAATAAAGGGTTTAGGTCGCACAGCGGCTCCCCTCATCGAGAGCTGGAACGGCTTCTTGGCCCCTCGGCTCCGGGCCGGCCTGGTGGCTAGCGTCAGCCAACAGAGCCCAGTGGAAGGACAGTGAGTGACTTCCGAGTCTCGGCCGTGGGAAGCCCTGTGTCGCTGTCTGTCGCCCCCTGGAGCACCAGGCCGGCTGCCCCCCGCCGGAGGAGGCCACACAGGAGCCGCAGGCCGAGGCCCACAGCAAAGGGAGTGCGGACCCAGCAGCAGACAGGTGAGGCCCGCGGGAGCCGCCCCCCTGGCCCGGGCCCAGCTGCCAGCCCACACGGTCACCGGAAACTGGGGGCTCCTTTAACCCCCTTTACGTTGAGGTGGCTTGATGCGCAGCAACAGGCAAGTGATTCGATAGAAATTATCTGCATAATTAACACAAGCTAACCTAAGACTTCGTCATTTCCAGACGCATGTAATTGGGGATAAAATCTGACCCCATGCAGGTGAGGTTTCCCTTCACGCGTGTTATTTCACCCGTTCCTTACTGCAGACACCGTCAGTTTCTCGGTGCTTCTGTAAGCCTTACATAGCAGGGTCATCAGGGCGACTGCGGGGACACACTGATGTCACGTCCACGAGACCACACACGCTGCGCACGGACCACGCGCGACCAGGTCTGAGACGGCATCTGCTCACGTGTTAAGGCGGGGGCGTCCCCCCGAGAAGGGCCCTCAAAACGCTGCACGGTCTCTGCAGTAAGTGCTGACAGTTCCGCTGAGGTGCGGCGTGTTTGTCAAGCAGTGCCCCGCTGTTCTGAGTACCCTGGAACTAACCCTAGGAATACAAAACTTACTCTTTGGCCAAAAGTCTAAGCTAGAAGCTACGTGCAGAATTTGAATCCCAGATCGGAGGAACCTGAGGCCAAGCTATTCCCTTGAATGAATGGTAACGCTGAAGAGTTCCTTTAAGGGACAGAAGGTCAGGTGTGAGACACACATAAATCCCTCCTTCCGAGGCAAGAACCATGGGTGAAGCTGAAGCCAGAGAGGGAACGTCCGATGAGGAGAAGAATTAAAAGTGCCTTCATGAAAAACAGTTCTCAGTGACAACGGAAAGATAACAGAGGGACAAGGAGAAAGCCAGGGGACGCCCTCTTAACTACTGGAGGGGCACAGGGCACATGTGTGCACACGCACACGCACACGCAGGTTTTATGTACGCGAGAACTCCCGGTGAGCGAGGAGCTGACGTGCTGTGTCTGCGGATGTGAGCCCCCGGGAGGGCCCAACATCACGGACACCGCCATCACGACGAACCTGGAATATCTGCTCAAATACGTAAGAAGAAGAGCACAAGAAGGAAAGTAGGAGACACATGACTGTACCCAAAAGGGGGAAATCAGGAAACCCGTAGTGATGAATTGAAAAAAAAAGTACAACAGCAGAACACACACAGAGCTGACATCCAGAGATGGGAGCCAAAGCGAGAACTATTTTAGGAACTGATGTGCTGTCTCAGTGGAGAGACTCCATTCGCTTCTGTGGGGCAGGCACGGACACTGGAAACCTATTCTGTCCCTTTATTTCGCTGTGACGCGTGGTTTGGGACACCTGCGGGCCTTCTGCTCAGGTGACGCTGGGAGAAGTGAGCCTCCACCTAACCCTACCGCATGATCCCCAGGAAGCCAGCCTGGAGAAACAGGAACCCACGATGTACAACGTTCTGTGACTCACGGTGAGGTACACGTAGGGTACTGAAACCTTGTACACGCGGTATATGTGCTTTTACGTACTCACACAGGAACCCCCCAGATTAGCCTTATTACACACGAGGAGCTCTGATGTTTTCTATCTCATGTCAGTTTTTTAAAGTGCTGGTCCCTGGGGTGCCTGGGTGGCTCAATCAGTTGAGCATCTGACTCTTTTTTTTTTTTTAAAGATTTTATTCATTTATCTGACAGAGAGAGACACAGCAAGAGAGGGAACACAAGCAGGGGACAGTGGGAGAGGGAGAAGCAGGCTTCCCGCCGAGCAGGGAGGCCGACGCGGGGCTCGATCCCAGGACCCTGAGACCATGACCTGAGCTGAGGGCAGACACTTAACGACTGAGCCACCCAGGCTCCCCTTTTTTTTTTTTTTTAAGATTTTATTTATTTATTTGAGAGAGAATGAGAGAGAGAGCATGAGAGGGGGGAGGGTCAGAGGGAGAAGCAGACTCCCTGCCGAGCAGGGAGCCCGATGCAGGACTCGATCCCGGGACTCCAGGATCATGACCTCAGCCGAAGGCAGTCGCTTAACCAACTGAGCCACCCAGGCGCCCAGGCGCCCCTTTTTTAAAAGATTTTATTTATTTTTTGACAGAGAGAGACAGTGAGAGAGGGAACACAAGCAGGGGGAATGGGAGAGGGAGGAGCAGGCTTCCCGCAGAGCAGGGAGCCCAATGTGGGGCTCGATCCCAGGACCCTGGGATCATGACCTGAGCTGAAGGCAGACGCTTAACGACTGAGCCACCCAGGCATCCCAAGCATCTGACTCTTGATCTCAGCTCAGGTTTCGACCTCAGGGTCATGAGTTCAAGCTCCGCATTGGCCCCCACACTAGGCGTGGAGCCTCCTTAAAAAATTTTAAAAATAAAAAAATGAAAGTGCTGGTCCCCGACTCATTCCCTGATTTTGAGAGCCCTGACTTACCAGATCCTGGAGGGAGACAGAGCTAATCTTCTATTCTTTTGTCTTTGTCCTCATCTTCTTCCCGGGTTGGAGATTAAATGTCATGAGAATTTAGGAAATGAAATTAGCCCATGGCAGCACAAAGGACTAAATGCTTTGCCTTATTTTAGGATTTATAAGATTTAAAAAATAAAACGTGGAGACAGCATTTGGGTTTGAGTAACTTCTGTGCGCTTCTCACCCACAGCAGTATTGTTTTCGAGGATCTAGAGATAAGGATTGGGAAGTCCTGATTGAGAAAGCACGTGCTGCAGCCTGGCACATGGAAGCCCCCGCTCCACCTATGGGCCGGGCCACGGCTGGGGACACGTATGGTGGCCATTCTTACACTTCAAGGCAGAACTAACAGAAGTCAGCCCATACACGTCTGGAGGCGAGGGAGGAGCCTAGCTAATGTTTTAGTGGGTTTCATTTCTTCCTTTTGGCTCCAAACTTATTTTTCTTCCCGTGGTTTGTGAACATCCAGCTTGAACACGAGTCAGGGGCTGAACTCATCCCTCACAAATGCACGGATTTTCACATCTGTGCTTCCGATTGCCATTTCCTGGAGAATGGTATTTTTATCTTCAAAACAGAGTGAGTCGCTCTCGCGGGCTGGCACAGTATTGGTCCCCATGGGCTGAGCACCCGCCACGCTGCCCAGCCCTCTGCCTGACTCGTCAGCTGGCTCCACAGCACTAACCTGACCCACACTAAGCCACTTCCTCGCCCGTCTTCTGTTCTAGCTGCTCTGTTCATTTATTTTTTTTCCATGGGTTATTATAAGGAGAAAAGAATCCAAGGACTTCGTTGAGCGCATTAGACGTAGTGAATTTTAGCTGGAAAATCTGATTTGGGGGCTGTGAAAATATCAAGGGATCTGGTAACATGAATTTTCCACATGAAAAACAAAAGGGTTTTCCTAGGCACCACCAAGGAGGAAAAATACTACCATCTGAGCTGGGCATATTCAAGTCTCCATGTAGAAATATAAATACAGTTTACAGAAGGAGAGCGAAGAACATTAAATAGACACATTAACAATAGAAATACAAACAGAACAGAGAATCAGGAAGGTATGGCCAAATTTAAGCATTCATAGTTTTTGGGTTTGGTGGCTTACAAAGAATCACTGTTTTAGATGCGTCGGTTATTGGCATTTATTTATTTATTTTTAAATATTTTATTTATTTATTAAGAGAGAGAGAGCACAAGCAGGGGGAGGAGGCAGAGGGAGAAGCAGGCTTCCCGCTGAGCAAGGAGCCCGATGCAGGGCTCGATCCCAGGACCCTGGGATCATGACCTGAGCCGAAGACAGCTGCTTAGCCATCTGAGCCACCCAGGCGCCCCGGTTACTGGCATTTAAAAGCAAAAATCACGCATCATTGAACCATAGGAACAGGCAAGTTGGACATGGAAATGCACAGAAAAACTCCAGAGTAACTGACTTGATGCCTTACGTGTATCTTCTGATCAGAATAACTCTGTAAATATCATGTGAAAAATTATAACAATGCTGCTTAGTGCCTTTAATCTACTTTATTATTTTTCCCTAGCTGGTTCGTTGGAACATGAAATCTGGTTAGCATAAACGTCGTTCAATGTTTTAAACTACAAAGATTTAGTAGTTTGTTAGCTGGGGCTTAGAAAGGGAGCTGGATATTCTCAGAAGGACCTACAACACACTGTAAAGGAGGATGCATCATAAAATCCACACCAGAGACCCAAGAAGCAGACGGTAGCCCTTGGGGACTGATCACGCACTTGTCTGTGGGTGCGCACTGTTAGATGAGCCCTTCCCCACCCACTCCCCGGGATTGCAAGGTTAGCAGTTCATAAGGATTCAGGGGGTGAGTATCTGATCACTAGTAGTCTGTGTCAGATTCACCGGATCTTCCGTTTTCACTGTCTGAAGCTCAAAGTGCAAGTGACAAATCACAATCACGGCCCTGGAGGCCAGGCTGAGATCGAGGATGGGTGGGGAAGACGGTCCATCTCTAGAGTCTGAAAAATGACAAAGATGAACGACCCCGCACATGAGAACAGACACCTGGTCATAAAACCCAGAGACACCAATTAATTCTGCCTCCACCAGGTGCCAGGATCCAGCAGGGCCGGCGACCGTGACACCACCACGCCTCCCTCTGTCGCGGGTCCCAGCCACGGTCACGGCTTCTAACTGCACGTGAAGTTGGAACTGCCGCCCAGCGGGTCTGAGGGGTCTTGCCCATCCCTCGGCTGTTCCGTTAATCACTCCGTAGTAAGACCAATGAAACAATCCACCAGAGACTACAGGCTTGATGGAAAATCCCTCTCCTTTTGGAAATGACCGTTGGTCACACCGCGGCGGCATCCCGTGATATATACAGAAGCTGAAATAACCTCCCAACAGGCGATTTACAGCAGGCCGCTGGTTCTAAATAATGGCCCGCACTTCCCGGCGCGACAGAGCAGTGGGACGGTGGGGGTTCCTGTGACGCGGGGAACAGCCCTGCTGCTGGCCTCGAGGCTGATGGATGCACTTGGAAGATGGTTTCTAATAAAAAGCTTGGAAATTTTCTTTTTCCAAGGCAACCTAACGCTGACACACAGTAGGCGGTGGGGGTTTCTGTCTGAGAGAAGACAGGCTTGGAGGGTCTGCACGTTGGCTGCGGACGGGACCTGTGGTTTGCATTTTCAGCTCCTCCCTGAAGTTTACGTCAGGCTTGTCACGTGAGACCCCCCTTGCCCCCCTGCAGTACCCTGGCACCGTCCACTCTCTCGAGAACAGTGCAGGTTAAAACAGATGAGTTCTTAACTTCACATTGCATTTGTTGAGTCAATGTCAGCTGCTCCCACACCTTCCGCAGAATTACTGGGTCGGCCGGCCTGCAAGGCAGTGACCGTCCCCCAGAGCATACACTTATGGGCCTCCTGGGTGGACAGAAAACTTCCTGTATTTAAAGATACTGTACAACAAAATTTTGTTTAAACGTTGTGACTGCACTCAGATCATACCATATATGGAAAATACAAAGGCTAGATTCTGTTGGCCACACTGTGTGTAGGGAAAAGGGCGTAATGTCGCTGATGGACATGCTCACTGATGCTACCTTTCCAGGAGACGTTACGCATGATGCATGAAAGCTCTGATTACGTGCATAATCTAACCCAGAGGTTCTGATTTTAGGTGTTCCTAAGAAAACAGTTGGGCAAATGTATGAAGATTGAAATCCTAGCGCCTCCATCGCTGTATATCAAATCGTTTAAAAAGGGATTGGTCAAATAAATTTGTAGAACTCAAAATAATACTACAAAGGAATTGAAACTCGTGCTGTAATTAGAATTAATAAATAAGTTCATAAGATTTTCAGGATATAATGTCAAAAATCAATTACTTTTGTATACTAGCAATAAACAATTCAAAAATAAAATTTAAAAAACCTCTTGAGTAGCATCAAAGATAATAACATCCTTAAGAATAATTTTTCTTTTTTTAAAGATTTTATTTATTTGACACAGAGAGAGAGAGCACAAGCAGGGGGAGCAGCAGAGGGAGAGGGAGAAGCAGGATCCCCACTGAGCGGGGAGCCCGATGCGGGGCTCGATCCCAGGACCCTGAGATCACGACCTGAGCCGAAGACAGATGCTTAATAGACTGAGCCACCCAGGCGCCCCAATAATTTTCTTTTTTAAAAAAACATAAGGACCTGTCAAAATCATTATGAAGGTAAATGACACTTTAAAAAGTGGACAGATAGATCATGTTCATGGACTTTAAGACAAATTAATTTTAAGATATCCATTCTCCCTAAATCGATGTATAGATCAATGCAATGGGATTTTATTAGAGATTGACAAGGTGAGTGGAACTGTATACGGATATGCAAAAAACCCAGATGAGCTGAAACAACTGTGAAGCAGAGTTGTTGACTCAGACTACCTGATTTCTTGACATTCTGTAAACCTGCAGCAAGAAGACAACGCAGTGTCGGCCCAAGGGTAGACGTGTGTGTGGATCAACGGCCACTCATACACGGTAAACCGATTTGCAGCAAAGCGATTCAGTGAAGTAAGAAAAACATTTTCAGTGAACGATATTAGCACAACATTCAGAAAGAAAGGGATTCTGATCCCTATCTCATATCACACGCAAAAATTAATTTCAGATGGGTTATAATCCGAACGAAAGAGCTAAAACACACTTCCGGAGGAAAAGAAACAGGGAAAATATTTTTGTGAACTTTGAGCAAGCAAAGGTTTCTTGATCAGCGCTCAGACGGTGCTGACCATTCACGAAAAATGGATAAACTAGAAGAAAATGGAAAGGTAAACCAGAGGAAACAGGAGGAAATATTCACATATATATACACGTACCTCACAGAAGAGTTGAACCCAGAATGGATTAAAAATCCTCCTCCAAACCCGCTCTTCCTCCCATTCTCCCAAAGAAGAGAACACTCAGGAACAGAGAGAAGCCAGTTGTGTCCTGATCCCAGTCCCCGATCCTCCCTTCCCTCGTTGCATTTGACCTGAAGAACCTCTTTTCCAAAACCACGTGAGCACCCCATGTACCTGACACCATTGGACAGAATGCGCCCTGGTCAAAATCTTGTGAGAAGATTCATCTCTCACCTGAACAGTGAAGGAAGGTGTTCCAGTTAAAGGCAGCGTTTGGTACTGTCACGACTCCTGGGTCGAAGGAAAGAGAGAGAGAGAGAGAGAGTCCACGTTGGTGAGATGCAGCCGGCTAGCTTGTGTCGACGTTCAGATAATGGTCTCCTACTTGGTTCTTACAAAGAACTCAAAGTTCTGAGTGCCTTGTGAACACCTGTTCATCCCTCCTGCACGGGAGGTTCAAAGGGAGCCCTTGGGTCCCCAGCGAGGAAAGGTGCACCCCCTTCGACCTCGCCATCCATCACGGGGTGGGACAGCCTCCAGGTGGGAAACGTGAGTCTCTAACAAAGGCCTGCAAGCAACAGCTTCTACAGCGCAGCCCCATGTACGAACTGCATCTCTGTTTAAAATTCCTAATCCCGGCCCTCTCCGCATCACACACGTTGCCTGCTCTCTGTGGTATCTCCTCCAACAGATTTAAGTTTAAAATTCTCTGACTTGAACATTTAAGATGTAGGAAGTTCAAGGCATCATTTAACAGTTTATCCTGATAATAGGAACCATCTGTGAAGTTTTAGGCCATGTAAATTAAGTCCTGTAACCCTCTCTGCAATGTCCCTTTGAGATAGTCATTACTCACTTTCGTACTACCTAGCGAGTGTTCACTGCACGTCCGCCCTGGGCACAGACCCTGGGTGGGTGCAGACCACACACTCCTGGGGCCCCTCAAAGCCCTGCGAGGCGCACTGACTCCCCCAGTTTATCCAGTTGGAAACTGAGCTTCACACAGGTTACGTGGTGTTCAGGGCGACTCAGGGTGCAGGTGGTAGAGGCTGCGTGTGAGCCCTTGTTTGCCTGGCGTGCCCGCGTGTTCCTCCACTATAAATCCGGCCAAGACAGGCCCGCACCTGCCCTGACACTTAGAGACACCTTTTATACAAACAGACTTGGTGCATCTTTTTAAAAATGGGTGTTCCAAGAAAGGGCTTATTTGGTAAGTGATTCTTCTGCTAAAAATATCACTGAAAGCGCTGGAGAATGCGAACCCGTGATAATGCACGGTGCCGCTGAGGCGGGACTCGGGGGTCTGTGGCCCTCTGGGCCTCGGCACCGTGCTGACCCGAGCTTGCAGTGGGTTACGTGCTCCACTTTGCAACGGCTTCTTCCCATGATTCCTATTGTTTCAACAAGAAGACAGTGGTTCCCTCGCTGCGTTCAGATGCTGAGGGTTTCCCGAAAGGCTGTGGAGGCCACCGCCAGGGAGGGACTGACTGGCTGAGGGCAGGAAGGGGTGAGGTTGGAGCAGAAGGGCTCTGCTTCCCCCCCAGCTCAACTAAAACAGAGAAGCTCAGCTTTCTCCTTTTGTAAACATACCCCTGAGAGAACACATTGTCCTTCTACTGGTCGAAAATGTTAAAGGACCTGCATTTTAAATTGTTCTTTTAGGGGCGCCTGGGTGGCTCAGTCGGTTAAGCGACTGCCTTCGGCTCAGGTCATGATCCTGGAGTCCCGGGGTCGAGTCCCGCATCGGGCTCCCTGCTCGGCAGGGAGTCTGCTTCTCCCTCTGACCCTCCTTCCTCTCATGCTCTCTGTATCTCATTCTCTCTGTCTCAAATAAATAAATAAAATCTTTAAAAAAAAAATTGTTCTTTTATAACGTTGTTGTATTTGTCCTTTATCTTCACATGAGGAAATAATAGGCACATCCATTCTACTAATTATTAGTAGGTAAATCTAAGGCACCATATTATTTCATCCACAAACACGTCAGTACATGTCTCTAAAAGGACTCGTCTTTTAAGAATACGTAAATTTTAAAATTCTTACCTTGACTCTGGACGTAGATCTTACCCCTGGCATGCGGCTTTTGAAAAGAAAGGAGAAAGGGAAAGAGTAAATTGGATAGTCCATTGCAACTGCTTTTTAGAAGTAAGGCCATAAAACCATCACTTTGGAACACGTCACAAAGCATCATCCACACAACTGTTCACACACTAGTTACTTTCTAAGAGCAGAGAGTTCCTTCCACTTTTAGTGGGGGTTAGCCCATTAAAAACACGGCATCTTCAAGGTAAGAAGCACAAAGGAGGAGGTCCCTTAGATTAGGTGTGATGCGTGATTACGATTGTATGGTTACTGCATTAGTAGAAAGTTACGGAAGCTCAGACAGTGAACACGCCGATGGCAGGGCCCGTGGGGAGCCTATCTATCGTGTGTGGAAGCTGGAGGTAGGTGTCCGGGAACCCTGATTTGGGGACACAAGTCCTTGAATGGAAAGAGTACACTCCCCAAACCCCATCCGTGGGGAAGAAATTAGGCCGGGGTGGGAGGCCAAGAGAGGAGAGGGAAGGGGCTGGGAGGTGCGGCATCCTGCGGTGTTCAGGGCGGAGGACTGCGACTCCCTACATAGACAGGACTCAGTTTGCTTTGCTTCTGTCCTTCCTGTTACATTCTGTATCTGAGACCTCTAACACCTGGACCATCCTCCTCAACTCACCACACAGCGGGGATGCACCCCCTTTTAAAATGCCCTTAAAATAGTAAGCCTTAAAAAAAATGTTTAAGAAATTCTCCTCCTTACTAGTGGAAAAAATGTTAATTTTAATGGAAAAAATGGCTGATAGCAACAATTTGAAATTAGAAACTGAAGTCCAGAGCCCTAACATACTCCTTTTGTGTAATTATAATTTCACTGGAAAGCTGAAGAGACTTTTATTGGTGTGCAGAGGAGGTTAGGCCTGCTGCTTCTTCAAGCAGCCCCGAGAAAGGGATGCTGACACACTGGCAAAAACATGTCAGCCTGGTATTTAAACTTTAAAGTGAATGCCAGCATTTGGCAAAAACAGATTCAATATAAATCTACATAGATTTGATTAATTAAGGGAAGGCAAAATAGGGTTTTTGCCTTGCCTCTATTTCCATTAGAAATATGCTCCATCTGCAATTAGAAATGCAAAAACCCACAATGCTTCCTTCAAGAAAATTCCTTCTGAAAAAAACAAAAATAATTAAACTGGCATTCCAACTCCATAAGCAGAATGAATGGACTCTATGTAGAAATTTCTGGACTCATCTGCTGGTCTTTACATATCTTTGAGCATTATTTCTCTTAAATCTACTCAAACCATGAGAAAACAAATAAGTATCAAGTCCTATATGAACATTTAAAACATGTTATGAATGATATTTTAAGATCTTATCCTTGTAAGTCAAGAAAATAGAGTTACAATATAAAAATATCTGGACTGGTTTATTTTTAATCTTTATAATAAAAGAAATCTGGCAAAAGCCAACTGGCTTATATTGATTTTGAAAAGCATTATCTATATTAAAATGCTCTAAATACAAATTAGCTTTCTTTGCTCAATATTTATTGTTGTTTCTCTTGCCTTAAAATAATAGAAGAGTCAAAATCCTTGTACATCACTTGCCTTGCAAGATTAGCTCATTGATGCAGAAAATGAAAAAGAAGCCTCTGTGTGTGTGTGTGTGTGTGTAGGGGGTGGGGAGGAAGGATGCTCCATGGTGTCTATGAGAAACCCTTACTAAATTCAGCCCATTACTAGATATAAAAAGCCAGTGTCCTGTTGGATACTTATAAATACACATGACCTTCTAACAGACCCAAACGCTAATTCATGCCTTTTTATAATGGAATAACAGCAACAGCAAATAGATACCCCATTTTTAAAATTTATATAACCTTCTGAAATTCAGCTCTCTGTAAGTAGAAACCACAGTAAACGTTATTTTTGAAATATACATACAATCACAGGGTGTGTGGGTGACAGAGATACCAATTTTTATTTTGAAATGACAGTGCAGCTTCTGATGGTGGCTTTGTTAAAAAGTACTTTTAAAAGAGCTACAGAATGCTTTAAAAACAATCATGGCTCGAAGGTGGAAAGCTCTCAAAATATACCTATGTCAAAAAAACGCACTGGAATTGGGGTCTTTTCAGGGGATGTGGTTCTCTTCCTTCTCCCTCCACCCTGTTCCCTTAGAAATGGGTTTTTAAGCAAGGAAAGAAAATAAAAGAGAAAAGAAAAAAACACATGAATGGGATGAGGAGTGTCTCCGAAGACTGGATCGGGATCCAAAGCTGGCTGGCAATGCAAGAAATAGGAATGCCAGGAGGAAAACCGGAGGGAAGACTTTTTTTTTAAGAAACAGTTAAATCTATGGAGTAAATAACTGGGGATTATTGATGTTATTCAAAAGCTCCCCCTGCAGTTCTGTGCCTTGGTGATTTCATGAATTCGAAGCAATTCTGATCATTCCAGATGTCTGAGCCCCCACGTCATGAGCTCATGAAGGGGGGCAGGGGTCTGGGCTCTGGAACTGATGAGTTTTTCATCCTTTGAATTACACTAAAACTTTTCAATTCCCAGGGATCTCATTTGGGGAAGAAAAATGCAAAGAACATTTCCAGTTCCATCAAGAACTCTCGGAGGAAAGCCAGTCTTAATAGAAGTTATTAAAAATGATTAGCTTCCTAGGGTATGATCAGTCCCTGGAGTTTCTCCTACAGAGTATTTGCAGGGAGGGCCTCAGACAAAGAGGGCATCTAAGGATGAACCCCGTGAGATGCAGGGTTTTAGGTTTCCGCTCGGGGGAAACCATAACAAAGCTGTGGTCTGTGGGTTCCTGCGGCTGCCAGCCTGATTTTCAGAGACCGTCAGGTGCAGAGCAACGGGCCATGCAGAAGGAAGGGGTAAGGCGTTCACAGGACAACATGCGCTGAGTACACAGAGTTCAGCGATTAGTGGACGCGCGGCTCATCGCAAGAGGCGGGCGTCAGCTCTGGGAGCTCACCATGTGACAGCCCGTGAGATCTGTCTTGCTTTCTGCATTTTAATTTCCAAAAGAATATTGATGAGTATGTGCACACACTGAAAGTAAAACTTTAGCTATGGCCTCACAGAAAACCACTTCAAGAAAGTTATTTTTCTTTAACGGGTGCCGAGGCGAGGCACAGCGCTGGTGGCCCGGGAGGCAGGGAGGCACGTCTCCAAACTAAACAAAATAAATAAGTACATAAAATCTCTGAAAAGTGACGACACCAGAAAGCTTAGCTCAGCGCCAACCTTGGCGAAGAGTACAGATGGGCCATCCTGGTTATCCTCGTGCTTTCTCGAATTTGATAACCACTTCAAGCAACATTTACTCAAACTCAAGATGTTTAAAAAACCAGCTAGCTCATAAATAAATATTTGAATTTGGGGAAAGTCCTGTTAGCAGAGTACTTCTTAGAAAAAGCTGGTCGACAGTGCAGTTGAGTTTTCTGGAGGCCTCTGGGGGTTTGAACCCAATGGAGACCTAGTAAACCCCAGATCGTTGCTTCCGTGGAGAGAAAAGCCTTCCGTTACGATATATACCTGATTTGCTTTACTTTTTTTTTTTTTCTTCCTTGTGAAATAGTCAGATTTTCTGGTGAAAGTCTGGTGAATTCAGAGAAAGAAACCTTAACTTCTAACACAGATTTGCATGCTGAATGTCTGTTACGTACCATCATAAGAAACCAACACTCCGTATAGACGAGCTTTACATTTCCATAAGGCATACAGCAAAGTTAGCAGTGGGTAGTGAATCAAATTCCTAAAAATGCCAAATCAAGGTTATAATTTCACAAACCAACAGAGCAGTGTTTTCCCAAAACGCGACCAGTGTTGAACTTGTGTGATAAATATTAACGATGCAGCATGCAGACCTGGTGAAAACCACTGGGACCATGCCCTTCACAAAATAGGTACGACATCACATTAAGGTTGATATGAACAACACTAAAAAAATAACGACAAGCCCAAACAAAGGCATTTCAAATTCAAGCAGACAACATAAAGCCATCCTCATTGAAGTCCAAACTAATTTGTGTCATCAGCCAGAGATAGGTAGGGGATCATAAACAGCCTCCAGAGTAGTGCCCGGCTTTCTGAGGGGGCTGAAAGGAACCTGGGGGTGACACAGCGCCCCTTCTGGGAACATTTCTTTCGAGATGTCTCCCACGGCCCGATGCTGTGTGAGCACGTGTCTGAGCAATCTTGAAAGAGGTCATCCCCCACTTGTATGTACAGAGCTGGGCTGACCAATGCGGCAGTGTCCAGCCACACCAGGGCTGGTCTGAATGGAGATGTGTCCTGAGTGCAGAAGAACACTGGATTTTGAAGACTTCATGCAAGAAAATAAAAATAAAAAAGCTATCTCATTAGTCATTTTTATATTGATCACATGTTGAAATAATAAGATTCTGGATATAGACAGTGTGCAATAAAGAACTTGGCCTTTGCGCGAGACCTGACAGGAGTGTCTTTGTTTAGGGTGGGGCCAGTCCCAACCGTTGGTCTTCGGGTGGGAGCCGGCCATACCACAACCACCACCCACGAGGTTTAGGGCAGGGACTTGGAGTCGAGTGGCATCTATCCACTTGGACACCGGCTTCAACCGTGGGCAGTTAACCAGTCAGTGAAGCCTACAGAACGAAGCTCCAATAAAAATGTTGGATGCTCAGCTTGGGTAAGCTTCTCTGGCTGGCAATCCTCCGCCGATATTGTCTCAGATCAATAACCAGAGGGTAGAATGGCTTGACTCCACGGGGAAGAAGGCAAGGGTGCCTTTGCCCTATACAGTTTTCCAAGTGGCTGATTTTAGCCTGACAAAGTCTATGACTTCCCTAGAATAAACCGTAACCATGAGTAGAATAACCATCAGTGAGTTCTGTGCAATAAGAAGCAAATGCCATAAATCTTTCTAATCTGGGATTATTGAAATCTGATTCTGATTTGATAATAATTAGGTGGGATTAACTGAACGACACCTTGAGTCAGGCCTGCTCCCTAAAACAAAACACAAAATTAAGAACAAAAGCTGGCAATTCGATAATGAAGAGCCAAACTTAATTATTCAAGAAACATTGCTGTGCGGAATACATAAGTAAAAATCATCACTCCACAAAAATTCATCTAAAATAATTATATAAATGTGGCTGAATAATGAAGCTTTACATTATTTATACATACGTTTTAATTTGTAAAAACTAATCAGATAAAAGTATTGAAAAGAACTTTATTGAAAAGTCTTTCACCAAAAAAAGGACAGAAAGCTGTTTTAAAAAAACAGGCTCACATTCGAATCTAATAACTAACCCCCACCGCTATAAACTCTAAAACCAGAAACACCCTTTCCTTATCATTAGCTTTTATTATAGTGTCTCTTCCATCACCACCGAAGACTAAACTTTTGCTGCCTGCTCGACTTTTTTTTTTATGCTTTGTCAGATACTTGGAAGAGTATCTTTCTGAAAACAGAGACCCCTGACCCAGGATCACCCAGCGCGTCTGAGTGACAGCGAAGGGCGGCCTTGGCTCTGAGACAGAAGCTGGCCCTTCCACGGGCGCATCCTCACCGCTACGGTCCCACCCGCCCGGACTGGGCTGCTCTGTGCACTCGGGCCGGTTCCCTTCTCACTGCCTGTGGACGTGCAGCTCACGGAGGAAGGACTGCGCCCGGTCAGTGAGCACTTTGCACGGCTGACTCGGGCTTCGAACCTCCACGGGCGCCCTCTCCCGAGGCCAGCCTCACGCTGCAGCTGCCGTCCCCATAGTTACACCCGAGTCCAGTAGGTGTCTCTGATTCAGTGCGTCTGGGACTCGGGGAGTCCACTCCTCTGGCTTTCCAAATTCCTTCACTGGAGTTCTTCCAAAATCTTAAATCATGTTGATATCCTTGAGTCCCACGTTATTTCCTCCTTACGTGCTTCAGTCTTTCCACACAAAAATGTATCCAGAACCTGGTACTTAAGTTAAAGAAATCTTTATCAAAGTGCATTTACAGGTAAAATGGCACGATGTTTGTAACTTTTTAAAAAAAATATTCCAGAAAATAAGTGTGTGCGAGGGCATGCATGTGTGTACGTGCATGTGTGCCTGCGCTGGGGGGAGAATGACAGTAGGTGAAGTAAGAATGGAAGAACTTAAGCAGATGGTGGGTGCAGTGCACCCTTCTGTTCTTGCTACTTTTGCTCCTGTGTAGAAATTTCTGTAAGAAAAAGTTCTAAAAAAGCGTCCATCCCTGGTAAATTCAGCAAATATTTATTGAACACGAGGATGTGTGTTACCCTCTGGGGATGCACTAGTGAACCCCACTTTGTCCCTGTCCTCAAGGAGCTCACGACCACGTAGGGTGAAGGCAAGGACAAGCACCAAGTGCATCCCCCCTGCACCCACGCCCCTGCAGGGCCACCTCGAAGACCCTCCCATGACGAGGACGACTGTGTCCCCACTCCTCGACTTGCTTGCGCCATGAGGACAGGAGCAAACATTAAACAAGCACAAGTTCCAAGAAGGCTTTCTCCCCGGTGCCTGCTCTCTCCAGCTGCAGAACCTCACGAGGGACGGCGGACCAGGTTCACGGAGTCACGCAGATCTTCCAAATGACGAAGCGTGTCATTACACAACATCAACACAAAAATCCCGCTTGTTCACATGACTGCTGATCCCACCAGGCAGGTCTTTACGCCTGGGGATGCTGCTGACCACAGGGTGCTTTCCGAAGTTCTCATAGTTGCTCGACAATTCAAACATTATCGCCCGTGGTGTTGCTTAATGTGACTGGCTCGATCCACGCATTTTTAAGAAACTGTCTAGCAGATGCCCACATCCGAATCACCAGCTTGCCTGCCAGTTACTCTCTCGGATACAAAATCGCGTGAAGATGTATCTGGTTCAGCTTGCGACTCAAGCACATGAGAGCCTCCAGGTAAATGCCATACCTCATCCAGAATTGCAGCAGAGCCGTATGCACACTCCTGTGTCATCACACGGAACATTCAGAACACATGTATTCAAAGGTTCATACTTGAGAAAATTGTTCACGGCTTTAAGGAGATCTGAAAGTGATTTTGTTTTTAACTACAAGGGGTGGTGTGAATAATCAAGGATTGGCTCAGATGGGTGCCGCTGCCTTCATTAGGATGAAGGGTTGGCGGTTTCACGGAGTTCCCAAAGGTGAGGAAGGCAAACAGCGTGTCTGTGTTATGATGCAAACAGGCTCGCATTGTGGGGGCCCGGGAAGAGAGAGGGATCCCCATGCTGACACTGCCCAGACAAACTGGCACAACAGAAAACTGGGAAGCTTGTCATTTGTTATTCTGAGATTTTCAGTTTATAAAATTGCCCTCCAGTTCCTCCCTGGGGAGTGTTTGATGTGAAGAAGGAGGTAGGCGCAATCCGGCCGTAAGGAAGAGTGCGTCCGCACACGCACAGTGGTCGGAGCCTTGTTCAGGGACCACCGGGCCCACAGAGCACCGCATGCGCCCTCGCCCCACACGGCAGTCACCATGCGCTAGATTTTACAGATCGAAATTCTACACGAAGTACAGGACCTGTACAGCACCCCGACAGGAATAATGCCGACAAGTGATAAGGCCATACGTGGGGGCACGGCGGATGAGCTGGCCCCGCACGGGGACCCACAGCGCTGGCGACCGGACAGCAGAGTCTCATGCTCGTGGGTCGCTGGGCAAAGTGGCCCCTGGGTTGGCCGCTTCTGTTCTGCAGATGCCAGCCTCACCACGGCTTCCCTCACTCCCCGCTGGGAGCTCAGCTCCCACCAGCTCATCCACCTGCCGCCAAGTCACCACGAGTCAGAGTCAGTAAGGGACCTAACTTCTAGAGCTATAAAGTCCTTTTCTGCAAGCTCGTCGGATAAATAGTCCAACCTCGCAAACTACATCTACCACTGAAAAGATCGCTGCTCTCCGTGCACGTGGGGCAGCTGCAACCTTGAGAGCAGAGCCTGGAAATCACCTGAGCACGTCAAAAGAAAACAGAACATAAAAGGATTCGGCGATTGGGCTATTTTTGCTGTTCAGCAGCAATAAAAAAAAAAAAAAAAAAAAAGTCAAGTCTTAAGAGTATCTACACAAATTAAAAAACCATCAGTATACGGGACGCATCAAACACTCTGGTGGCCACAACAGAAACACTGTCTGTGCCCATCCAAGTACCACGCAGCCCTCACCCCTGCCACCTCCCCAGCTGCCCCCACCGCCTCCCCAGCTCAGCCAGCACGACAGCAAAATCAACACGTACCCACTGTGTCTGCGCCGCTTCCTTCATCGACTCTGTGAAAGCGACAGCAAATCTAGTAAGATGAACAAAAATAAGGAAAACAATTAGGGCAGAATTCAATTAACGTAACTAGGGAACAGCTCTTTGGAACAAATTGTGAGAGACAAGGTAAGAAGCTGAATTTCAAGTGCCATCCATCTTCATCACGTGCGGCCAGCGGCCCTCCGGTTCAATCTCCACTCACATCAAAACAAGTTGTGTATGCACGAAATAAACACCTGGAGCTCCACATTTCAGTTTTTTGTTGTTGTTCCTTCCATGCAAGGTCAGAGAAGCAGGGAAAAAGTCAGAAAGCCAGATGCAGGGGAGAGGCAGAGGATTTAGTTAATCCACTCGGAACATCCAAGGACCAGCTCTCCGGTCACTAGCTTCAGCGCGGGAAGGCTGTGCTAAAGTACTCAAAATTCACTGAATGCACATGGATCAGGAATGTTAATGTGTACATTTATCAAGCAATGGCTATTTCCAGAAGTAGGGCCGGATACACATGGGATGAACCAGGAACGTCCTATGGTGGCCAGGCGGTGAGAAATTGCCCGAAACTGGTGAGGGCAGGCTGGGAGGACACCAGAGTCAGCTCACAGCATCTCCCGTGGCCAAGGCGGGCATGATTTAGTGCCCAAATACCTCACAGTGATGGGTCTCCCATAGAGTAAAATAAAATAAATACCCATGTGTCCATACTGATAGACACAAAGAAGTGACTAGCACATGGGGCCAACAGGAACAGCTCTTCCTTTCAGAATTCCAGGGAATGAATGCAGAAGGAGTAGTGGAAATGGAAAATCACCACGAGGCAGACTCCACAGTAACAGTGGTCACGGCCAAGAAGCCGTAACGGTCGATTCCTTCCCACCCCAAAGGGTGGGCTCCTTCCTGGAGGAGCCCCCCTTCCCCTGCCTGTCTTCTCCGAGCCTTCCCTCCCCACCACCTTCCACCCATCCCCGCCAGTCATTCACATGCCCCGGATTTAAGGAGGAATGAATGGAGGAATGAGGAAACCTCTTGTCCTCTCTGTGGGCGTGACAAAGAGGGGCGGGGAGGCACCGAGGGCATCACCCCTCACACCGGGGCCGCCTTCACCCCCTGTGCCCTGCACGCAGCTGGTGCGGGCCGACCCAGCGGTGATGGGTGCGCCCGCATCCCTCGTGAGACGCTCCCCGAGCCCTGGGACGTGGGCAGGGAGCGCGAACAAACTATTCTGAGCCAGAGCTACGGTGTAATGCAAGGACAGTTGCAGGGACCTTCCTTCATGGGAAACCGTGAGGCGCCGCGGTTCCTGGTCCCCAGGGAATTCAACGCCCAATGGATATTTCCTGTTACTGTTTCCCACCAGGACTAACACCACCGCCATGACTTCCGTGAGGGGTTCAAGCACCCCACGTGGCCAGCAAACAGACTACTTGACAGCTTCAAACCTATAGAAAAGAAAAGAAAAAAGAGGAGACCCCAAAAGCAGAGAAAAACTGGGGAGCACGGAATAAGGTCAGTGACAGGAGGATCATGCCTTTCACCCCATAACAGCGTTTCTAGATAAATGCACAGTGCAGCCTGAGGACGGCTCATGGAAGGTTGATCCGCTCCTTTGGCAAGCACGACCACCTCCCCATGCCTGCCCCACGTGGGCTGGGATGTCGCTCTGTGCGCTGTGACTCCCCCAGCCCCTGGAGTCCTGCCTGGCACCCAGCAGGCAGGCCAAAATGCCCACAGACTGAATAAATGAACAAGCGCACGGATGGGAGTCCTGCCTTACGTTCCAACCGGACGCGGGTCAGAGCGAGGGAAGAAGGAAGAGCAGGTGCGTGGGGCTGGCCGCAGAAGAGGGAGCTCGGGCACCCTTGCCCAGCAGCTGCGGTTACTGTCCCCAGCCCGTCACCCTTTCCGCCGGCATGCCCCGTTTGCTCCGGACCAGGCATCGGGGATCTGCGGCCCGGCTGAAGACCAGAGGGGCAATGAGAGCCTCGGAGAGGCCTTCATCAGGAAGAGTGCACGCGTACACGTTTCGGGAGTCAGTGGGCGGACCGAGTGAGCTTGCTCATTTCCATTTATCCTGGAGAGGCAGGTAACACGTTCGTCCTTGCAGCCCCTCCCTACAGAGACCCCGGCCCTGGGTTTATACCCACCTACTTAGGAGATAACGGATAAGAGGGTTTCTGACCCCACAATCCTCAGAAAATAAAGAAATTAAAAACAGCACATTCCTTACCAAAAAATGTAAAACTACCACTTTTGCCCTGTGGGATGAATATTGCCATTTCAAAACGTGCTCACTTTCACGTGTGATTTTGTTGGTCAAAAACATCTTTAGGAACAACTGTATGAAATGACTGATACTGAGCCATTTTGACCTATAATTTCACATGGTCTAACCTGTCATGTGCTATATATTTCCTAATTGTGAAACTATTTCTTAGGCAATTTATTTCATATAAACTCTCTTTTGCTCATTTGTGGGCAATACTAAATTTTTCTGAGGTGCACCGGATGATCCTTCACAAAACAACCTCCACAAGTTTCAAACTCCTTACCTAACTTGGTATTCATAATTACCAAATACTTATCATATTATAATACAAGCCAAAAAGCTGATGCTGAAGTAATTTCAATACTATGCCATACAGAAAAAAAGTTTTAAATACAAAAAAAGTTCAAAAATATACCTCATAAGAAAAATGTTACTACATAAAAGTATTTGATTAAAAGTGAAACTCATTATAAAGCGAGACAAGTTCAATACTTTATTTTACAGAAAAGTATGCCGTACGCTGTCCGACAAGAAATCTATGATTCATCTGACTTCCCTGCCCACTGACTTCAATCAATACTCCTCCCAAATGAAAATCAATGTGTTTTAATAACAACGCAATGAATAATGCTAACGATAATACCTTAAGATGAATTCATTCAGTATCGTTTCTACCTAGCAGAATTATTGCCCTTCCGTAAGACAGTGCAAACTGCATGAATCAAAAGGTAATTAATTTTCAGAGTCTAAGAGCAACAACATCGAGAAAACCTATCATGACAGATCACGTTTTAAGATCGACCCAAACTCTGTCTACCTTTGTTTACTGTAATTCTGTCTCTCCATCTGACGTGCACACTCTCTATTTGGACAAGGTTTGTATGGCCACATTTATGATATCCCACAGTAACCCTAGTTTTCAGGAGCAAGACTGACTCCCGCCTTAGGAAAAGGGGATGGGGTTGCCTTGGGCTGCACCCTAGAACCTGGAGTGCGTCCTTTGTAAAGGATCAGGAATGCTCCAGGGACAGAAAGAGGCAGAGTTCTGGATTCCCTGACCACGCTTCTCAACCGTGAGAGGCTTAGAGATGAGCCACAGACATTTCGTGGTTGGCCATTTATTGGGGGGCACGGGAGCAACCTGAATGTCCATGGACAGACAAATGGATAAAGAAAGTGTAGTAAACACATACACTGGAATATTATTGAGCCTTGAAGAAAGAGGAAATCCTGCCATTTGCAATCACACGGATGAACCTGGAGGACATGATGCTCAGCGAAGTGAGCCAGACATAGAAGGACAAATACTGTATGATCCCACTGATGTGAGAATCTAAAATAGTCCAAGTCCTAGAAGCAGACAGTAGGATGGTGGTGGCCAGGAGCGGGGGAGACAGGAACAGGAAGAGATTCATCCAAGGGCACAAAGTTTCACTTGTACAAGGTGGGTAGGTCCTGGAGACCTCCTGGAGCCTACAGTTAACGATGCTGTAACATACACTTAGGAAAGTGCAAAGAGGATAGATTTCATGTTACGTGCTCTTATCATGACCGTAATACCGAAGAGGGTGGGCGGAAGCTCTCGGAGGGGGTAGAGGTCTTTATGCCACAGACCCTGATGATGGTTTCACTGACGGGGACTCATCTTCCAACTCATCGGGCTGTATACATACATTAAATACAGCTCTTTGCATGTCAGTCATGCCTCAACCAAGTGTTTTTTTTTTTAAATAACTAATAAAGCAGTTTGTCCACATCAAAAAAAAAAAAAAATCAATCGCCTGCTTTGTATTTTTTTTTTTTTTTTTACAATGATTCAAAAATTTACATGAGCTGAAAGGTTGAGGTCTTGGTAAACTTTGGATTCAGGGTGATTCCACGGTCAGGTAAGACTTGCTCTGTGGCCCGGGAGGGACGGACCACATGGCACCATCTCGACCCTTCCGTGGACTCACCCCAGGAAGCCTGCCAGTCACCTCTTCACGGATGAACAGAAGAGCTCTTGGCTTTAGGCCCACGTGACTATTTGGGTTTTGTTTTGACTTCTTCTTTTTATTTATTTTATTTTATTTATTTATTTATTTTTAAGATTTTATTTATTTATTTGAGACAGAATGAGAGAGAGAGAGAGCACATGAGAGGGGGGAGGGTCAGAGGGAGAAGCAGGCTCCCTGCCGAGCAGGGAGCCCCATGTGGGACTCGATCCCAGGACTCCGGGATCATGACCCGAGCTGAAGGCAGTCGCTTAACCAACTGAGCCACCCAGGCGCCCTTGACTTCTTCTTTTTAAACAACTTTCATATGGACATAGAGGATTTCTATACTGTTATTATTATGTTAAGTATTATCATTATCTTCGAGATACAGAGGAATGGGGGTGATTTCCCCCCCGCCTGTCCTTCTAGTTCACAGTGCTGTACAAATACGATTTTCTAAGTATGCCCAGACAAGGGAAATGTTGGGGGGTGCAGCTCTGGGTTCTGGACTGGGGCAGCAACTCCCCACCCCAGGGGCTAGAAACGCGATCGACTGCAGCTGCAGCGGCCAGCAGGTGTCGCCGACGAGCAGTGACCAGCTGGGCTCGGGGACGTGCAGCAGGGCCCCCACGATGAAGGACTGTCCTGCCCCGAATGCCCACGGTGACCCCTCCCAGGCGGTTTTACAGAGCTCAGAAATCCGCGGAGCTCAGAGCCAGGCCCCAAACATTCAAGAGTCGATGCTGACTCCTGTGCTCGAGGAGCGGGAGTCGGGGCGTGCTGTTCTCCAAGCGGACCACGGTGCGGCGCCTTCCACCCGGCAGGACTGCTAAGGAGGTTGGCCCAAAGTGAGCTGTCGCTGAAGTTATTCCCGTGCAATAACTTGTTTACCGTGACCCTTCGTGGCAAAGTTAAAATGTGCAAATCAAAGGGACAAATGAAATGAGAAAAAGAGACTGGCTTTATTATGGTAAGATGGGACTCTCCCAAACGGCAGCCTTCCTAATCTTTTGGTTTCAGCGAACTCCCCCCAAATGCTTAACTCCTGTGAGGTTCTCATCAGCATTACCTGGCTTCTTCGAGGACCTTTCCCATCACTTCATTTTTTTCTCTCTGGTTAACATCTTCATTCAAATCGGTTCCACCAAAGATGATTCCAAAGGGGATTCCATGACCTGCAAAATTATGACAGTTAACGAAGCAGAGCGTAGCTTTGGAAACAGCCCTCACTCACCATCCCGTCCCAGAGCAAATGCGAAACCGTGTTCCCTCAGCTTGGGGGACCGTGTTTTGGTGTTTGTTTCATTTTATCCAGCTTACCTGAGCAGCAGAATAGGAATCACTATTATACACAACATGACATGGGGATTAATCATGTCAGACCACCAGCGCCAGCACCATTTAAAATCAGTTAGCTTTACATTTTAACAAATGAAAAATAGTGCTGGCTGCCATCTATCAAAACCAAGCTGACTGCTCGCGGGAAATGGGCATCTATGACAGAAAAAGAGCAGGTTAAATGCAGCCCGGCTGGGGCTCCCGGCAGCAGGTGCCGTGCTCTCGAGGGCACCCAGGCCACGATGACTTCAGGGAGCATGCAGCTCTCTGTCCTGCGAACCACACACAGTGCGTGTGACGTGTGGGAGCAAGTCTGTTCTGTGCCGGTGACAGGCTTAGTCAAGGGAGGTTTGATGAGCACAGACGAGTGAGGCATCAGGCGTGCACAGATCGAGCTAAATGATGTGCTCAGCAGAAGCCACTCCATAGGGACTTCCAAAGGTCAACCAAAAATTTCAAGAGATGCTGGCTGGCAAACCACCAAGTAGACCAGACCTAAGAGGAGTGTTCACACGGGGCTTTCTCGAACAAGCCATCCCTCCTGAGATTCAGTAGTCACTCAAAGCGTACTCTTCTTTCCTTTTATCTGCCTTAGAATTATTCCTGTCAATGCAAATGAGCAGATTCTCTTTTTTCTCTCTGGTGAGCTGGCTCTTCCCCGGGAATCTGACGGCTACGAATTCAGCCTCTAGATACTAAAGCCCACAGGCACAGCGAGGCTGCTAGGGAGAGCGGAAGATGGGAGACAACTCAGATGCGTCGGTGAAGACCAGCCTTTAAAAAAAAAAGAAAAAATGGAAGCATACGGGGTTGTGTGTATGTGTACACGGACATAAAAAGGCTGAAAAAAATCTACCACATGAGAAAAATCAAGGGCAAGCTGGCTAACACAGTATGCATGTATTGTGTAAAAACGATAAACATCCATATATGTGTGTGTATGTGTGTGTGTGTGTATATATATATATAAATTCAGTGAACGAATACGCAGCACACGGGGATGTTGAGCGACAGTGAACGAGTTTAGCATGTGGGGCCGACACGAATCTCTGGGGGCTGGAGGGAGGTGCGAGGTGGAAAGAATAATGACCCGCAAAGATGTCTGTTCCTAATTCCTGGATCCTAGGAATGTTTCAGGGGAAAGGCAAATTAGGCTATTTAGAATTGAGGGTGCCATCAGCTAACCCTGAATGGGAGAGATTATCCTGGACCATCCAGGTGGGGCGGTGTAATCACGGGGTCCTTACATGTGGAGGAGGCAGGCAGAGGAGGAGCTCCCCAAGCTGCCGTGTCAGGAAGGGGGGGACTGGCCCGGCCCGTGCGGACTCTGAGGATGGGAGGGGCCGTGAACTGGGGAGTGTGGGTCCCTCCATGAGGCGGAAAATAAGGAAGCGGATTGCCACAGAAGCCTCCACGAAGAAACACAGTCCCACCAGCATCTTGGTTTTAGCCACGGGAGACCCCCTTCAGCTTTCCGGCCTCGAGCTACAGGACAACAGACGTGTGTTTTATGCACTGGGTTTGTGGTAAATCGTGACAGTGTAATAGGAAATTAATATAGCAACCCCCGCCCCCGCCATAAAAACTGCCAGTTTAGGAAAATTAGGGTCAGGAAAATCACAGAAAAAGCCTTTTGTCAGTGAACTCTCCAAAGACAGAATAGTAGACACCAGAAAGATCTACACCGAGCATCACAGACCCTGCTCCGAGGTGATGAGAACATTCAGTAATTAAGTGATCGGCCTGCGAGCGGCCTGCCTATTGGCAACCACTCAAGTATATCAACTCAAACTGAGTAAGAAAAAACGTCAGACTTGGACTCCAGACCATCCTGGGTCAGAACCTGGTTCTCCACTTGGAAAACGCATGACTTTGAGCGAGTCACCAGGGTCCTCTGAACCTCGGCCAGCTCATCTGTGAAACGGAGGTCAAGCTAATTAGCTGACTTACTCGTGCGCTTCAGTGACTCCCTACATACGACGCACAGACACAGGACGGACTCTATGTGATACTGGTGTCCCCGTGCTTTCTGCCGAATACGTTTTTAAATATATAAATCCAGAAGCTCTCTGAACTAAATTAGCACTCGGAGGAATGGAATGTGGGATATTTCATTTGCTTTCCTATTTTTTCAATATTCATTCTATTGATGAGAAAACAAAGCTTTAAATAAGTAGCGTGTTAGTCTTTTTTTTTTTAAAGATCCTATTCATTTATTTGACAGACAAAGACACAGCAAGAGAGGGAACACAAGCAGAGGGAGTGGGAGAGGGAGAAGCAGGCTTCCCGCTGAGCAGGGAGCCCGATGCGGGGCTCGATCCCAGGACCCTGGGATCATGACCTGAGCCAAAGGCAGATGCTTAACGACTGAGCCACCCAGGTGCCACTTTTTTTTAAAGATTTTATTTATTTTTTGACAGAGAGACACAGCGAGAGAGGGAACACAAGCAGGGGGAGTGGGAGAGGGAGAAGCAGGCTTCCCGTGGAGCAGGCAGCCTGATGCGGGGCTCGATCCCAGGACCCTGGGATCATGACCTGAGCCGAAGACAGACGCTTAACCGACTGAGCCACCCAGGCGCCCAGTAGCGTGTTAGTCTTAATGGCAATGCATCCATAATTATGAGTGGAAAATTCTAGAAGTCTTCTGCTATAGAATGATGCATATAAAATGTCTGCAAACTCCTACTGACCCTTCAAAACCTCACTCAGGCACGCCCTCCTCTCTGAAGTCTTCTCCCGGTCTATCGGAAGTAAATCCCTCTACTCTGATGCCACGCCACGTATCATAGGCTTTAGGATTGATTTGTAGACTGGAAAATCCTCGAGAACAGGCACCGTGGCTTATTAGTTTTGTACCCCTTGCTCCTAATACAATGCCTGCTACAAGTTAAATCTTCAAACAGCCTTTGTGAAAATGAACTGAGCCTGAAAAGTGGTCCAGAAACTACTTTCCAAGCGCATTTACTCGGAGCCGCCCAAGCAACTGGTCCTATTTCATCAATCAGTGCCTCTGCTGAAAATTTGTCATTCCCAGAAGTCTGCTGAGAAAAAACATCACCGTCTCCTGAACCTGGCTCCTTAATCAGCCACCTGACTCCACCTGCTTCCTCAGCAGGTTCAAGCCTGAAGCCGATCCTCAATGAGAAACAGAAAGAGCTTCATGAAAGCGCTTCTCATCCAGTTTTCTGCCAACGTCGGATCACTGGGCACGTTTTCTTTGTGTGCCAGTTAGGGCAGATGAAGGAGAGCCCAGGAAGCATCCTGCACGGGAGCAGTCTTCTATTACATTTTAGACAGGGGTAGCTATGAAGTTCTCTTCCCATGCACTTGAAAGCTGGTGGGTGTACACGTCGAACGCCTTTCACAGACATGTCCAAGAGGGAAGAACACATGCAACGTGTTACTTCAAAGTTAATATGGTAATTGGTCCATGACTTAGATAAAACATTAAGATTCATATTTAGAAAAAAAATACTTGCATTGTACCTGCAAAATAGCTACAATAAATATTAATATTGTTACGGTGCTATTTCTCATCACTTGAATATTCTTCTTAGCAATTTTATGTACTTAATTATTCGCTCAGAAAATACTGGTTTTAAAAAGAAAAGCAAGCTTCCATTTGTCCATGCCGTTAAGGTTTTATTTAGATATATTTACCATGCACAGACATGTAAGTGCGGCCAGTTATTAATTGCCAATATGCACCTGCAATAAAAGTGCACAGATACGTCCTGTGGGGAGGCCGTGCCGCACTTAGAAAATCCTAAAGCGAACGGGCTCTGTGGACGCCTGCTCATCACAACGTCGTTTCCAGTTGAGGGGAAAGTGGAAACAGGATATGAATGTTCCTAGTCATGCTGTCAAAGACCATTCAATGACGGGGGAGATGTTCCTAACATCAGTAGGTAAGACAGGCTGCTAAACGGTGGTACGATCGCGATTTTAGAAATACAGCCACAAATTGCAGAGAAAGGTGAGAATGTCAGACCAGCATCCACGGTGCTTAGCCCAGGAAGCATCAATTAATATTTCTTTAAAAGAAGTTGCAAGTTTATATTGTAAAAGTGGATCTTTTTTCTGTAAATTTAATTTTGAAGAAAAACACAAGATCGGTAAAACCGAATACGTCCAGGAAACAGCGGGCACGTCTGGGTAGTGAAACTCAAGGGGCTCTATTGCCTTCTTTGTACTTGTGGGAAGTTTCCAAATTATGTAACTTCTTATGTAACTTTTTTTAAAATCATTAAATGCTCTATATTTTAATATAGTTTAATCTAGGGGCGCCTGGGTGGCGCAGTCGGTCAAGTGTCTGACTCTTAGTTCTGGCTCAGATTGTGATCTTAAGGTCGTGAGATCGAGCCCCGCGTCGGGCTCTGCGCTGAGCATGGAGTCGGCTTGAGATTCTCTCCCTCTGCCCCTCCCGTTCATGCTCTCTCCCGCTCTAAAATAAATCTTAAAAAATATATATCTTTAAAATCTGTAATAGTTGAATCCATGGAAGACTTAGAAACGTCGGAAATCATGCCCCGCCGGCTGTCAGCACAGGGCAGCTCAGCGTAGGGAACGGAGAGGACAGAGGCCCCTCGACGCGTCGGGTGAGAATCACAAGGCGTGCAGCACCTTCTCTACCTGCCGATGGCGGTGGTGATGCTGTTCATGGCTGGCTGCTCAGGGAGAGGGTGCTTTCAAAGAGATGAGCCTGAGGAATACGTAAAGACCACGGAGACAACAACCGGGAATAAACGGAAGTCGAACTGAGTTTACTAACAGTGGTGCTGCATCGGGTCCTGGCATTTGTTAGACCAAAGCAGGAAGACCCGGTCCCCTCGTGCCATGGGTTCTAGAGAAGGCTTCTCCCCTCCCACCACTTGTGAGAGAGGCGAAGCTTTAGGTGACTTTGTGCTTTTCCTCCATTTAGTTGAAGCAAAGGCCAAGAGATGGTAAAAATGGAGAAAAACTGGACTTTGGAGGAGAAAACCCAGTGATGTGACCAGAGCGAGAGGAAACAGGTCCTTCCGTCTGTTGGTTGAGCACGGACTGGACTGACCTTTCTGGGGGGCAGTTTGTCCCTGTCAATCCCAATGAAAAATACACAGTCCTCTGGCCACAGGTTATTCGAGGAATTTAATCCACCAAAATCCCCCCAGAATGAAGTAAAAAATACAGTCAAACTTGCTGTGGCTTTACCTGCAATAGCAACACCTGAGACAGATTTTTAATAAACACGGTGCGGTCTTCTGGTAGAATACCACACAGTCAGGAAAAAAGGCAGGAGGAGCTCTGCTGATTTGGAAAGCTCGCTCAGCTATGTACTTACAGTGTCGTCCCGTTTGTGGACATAGACCATACTCCACGGGTATGTATGCAAGACATTAAAAACACGCAGTTTGATGGACAATAATACACCTGATGGTAAACGGATTTCATCAACCCCAGTGCCTGAAGCCTTATGAGTGCAAAACAGACCTACAACGGTCAGTGACAACCTTGTAAAGACTTCCAGGAGCTTTAAGAGCTACGAACGGTAACCTTGGCCCCTACACTTCCTTCCTATTTTGAGGTCGACCTCAGACTCTGTTTCCCAGGACACTTGCAACAGAATCCCAAGTCATACCTGTTCAGAGGGAAAGAGCTCTTGGGAGTAAGACTTTCACGAACACCGTCCCCACTGATAGAAGACAGTTTGTGCTGATGGTTCAAACGGGGTTGCAAAGATAAGGAGGCACAGGTAGATTCTCAAAGGTTCCTAAGCTAAGACGTCCGTACAGAGATATTCGCTGCCATGACTATGGGGGAAAAACATGGAAGACAACTCCAGTGTCCCTTAATCGAAGCCTGGTAAGATGATGGGTGCTCCCAGGCTTGGAAGGTTATGCAAGCATTGACAGAATGAGGTACATCTGTACATGTGCAGCTGCAGAAAAATCGCCAGATGCATCGTGGTAAAAAGCAAGACACTGACTATGTATAGCATATTCCCACTCATGTTTTTTTTAAAGGAGGAGATACGTACAAATATGTGCCTGGGCTTACGTGGAGGCCAGCGCCTGGTGGTCACGCTCAATGAGGTCCCCTCCCAATCCCCAGAGGGCTGACTGGTGTAAGCAGGAGATGCTCTGGAATCTAGGGCTTCCAAGGATGGGTCATAATAGGCCAATCAGCTTCCAGCGTGCTCTCTCTTCGATGGCTCTCTCTTGGAGAAGCCGGCTGCCACGTCTTGAGGGCACTCAGCAACCTCGGCAGAGGCCCACGTGGTGAGGAACTGGGGCCTCCTGCTGACAGCAGGTGGCCCGTGTGGGACCAGTCAGGCCTCCAGATGACGCAGCCTCAGCTGGAGCACATCCTACGTGGTCTTGACCACAGCCTCACCCGAGACCCTGAGACAGAATCAGCACAGCTGTTTCTGAATTCCAGATCCACGGAAACTATTACATATAAATGCATTGCTACAAGTCGCTCACTTTCGGGGGCAATTTGTTATATAATGACAGATAACTAGCACAGTCCCTATAATACATTTCCAGGAGAATACACAAGGGAATGATAACTAGTTGTCTCCGGGGATAACAAATTAGACAGCTGGAATGAGAAGTGGGACGAAGGTTTCCTTTTTGTTCTTGATCATTTAGTTACACTCACTCTGTGCTGGGGGGAGATTGAAGTGTGCATGTAGCAGCTTAGGTTTTAAAAACAGCACCTTGTCCGATGTGCCCAGGCAGGAAGCGAGCATGCAGTGAGGCCCCAGCCGGTGAAGCCCCAAGTCCCTGTTGGGGGCAGGAGGTGGGAGGGAGCAGGAAGAGGAAGCGAGGCAGAAAGTCACCTTTAGCAATGAGACTGCCGAAAATTTCCGAGGCTTGGCACATTCTGCTGACGGGAGCTCCATTCTCCTGTGATGACCGTAAATCATTTTGGCCCTCAAATGACATCCCGCCCCCCGAAATGTGATTGCCACCGCCATGTCAGTTAATTCACGTTTGGGAAAAGGCACTCACTGGTCAGCTGCAACGCAAGCAGTGTCTTCTGCCTTCACTTGGTGCCTCTGTGCTTTCACGGAAGTCACATCAGCCTGGGAGTGTTAAGAAGAAAGAGCCCCCAGCTGTAGCTGAAGTCAAAACGACGACTGCGCACATGCCCTTTCAGCGACCGAGGGAACCGTGTTTTCAGGTCCCCGGTGGATTGATGAGTCAAGTTTTTAAGAGAGAGAGTACTGTTGTTTAGCTTCACTCTTTACTACTAATTAAGAGCTCATACGCTGTGAAGTTGCATTGAATACTTTGCAGTTTGGGGTGCCTGGTTGGCTCAGCCTGAGAGCATTGGACTCTGGGGTTTTTTTTTTAATTTATTTAAATTAAATTTAGTTAGCATATAGTGTATTATTAGTTCTGGGGGCAGAATTTAGTGACTCCTCAGTTTCGTATCGTCACCCAGGTACCCCATCCCCCCTCCCCTCCAGCAACCCTGTTTGTTTGCTGTGATTAAGAGTCTCTTATGGTTTGCCTCCCTCTCTGTTTTCATCTTATTTTTCCTTTCCTTTCCCTATGTTCATCTGTTTTCTTTCTTAAATCCCACATAGGACTGAGATCATACGATAATTGTCTTTCTCTGATTGACTTATTTCACTTAGCAGAATACCCTCCAGTTCCATCCACGTCGTTGCAAATGGCAGGATCTCAGGGTTCCGAGTGCAAGTACCATGTTGGATGTAGAGCTTACTTAAACAAAATACACGCTTTGCCGGCTTGGGTCAAGTAGCGATGTAAATCATTTCTGTGCGGTGGTGACGGTTAACGCTGTGTTTGAGCTCAGGGACAACCCGACAGCCAGCCGGTAAACCATTATATCTGCATGTGTCTGTGGGGGTGTTTCCGGCTGAGATTAGCATTTGAATTGGCAGACTGAGGGAGGAAGGTGGCCGCCCTCACTGAGGCAAGTGGGTGTCACCCCATCTGCTCAAGGCCTCTGGAGCAGGAGGGCAAGGCTGAGCCGAGACATCCGTCTTCCCCGTGCCAGCTCCCAGCTCTCCGGCTTTCCGACTCAAACAGCGACCGACACCAGCAGCCCCCAATTCTCAGACCTTCAGGCCCGGACGGAAGGGGTTCCCAGCTTCCAGAGGGCAGGCCGCGAGACTTCTGGGCCTCCGTAGTCGCGTAAGCCCATCTCGGTGATAAATCTCTTCTGTGTGTCTGTACATGTCCTCCTGGGCTCGTCTCTCTGGAGAGCCCTGACTAATGCCCCGGAGGGCCCATTGCACGTGGCCCTGCTCCGCAGCTAACCTAGCAACCTAATTTCTATTCTCCATGAAATCACCCACTCAAATCCCAGTTCCTCAGATGCTCTTTAAGCTACTTCAGGATCTTAGTGTTTGCCTCGTTAGTAGGTCAGTGGAATAAAATGTTTCCTACGTGCCCAGTCTGTGTTTATAAGAGGCGCGTATGTGTGACTTTTGAAAATCATACTCTGAGTGAGGAACTGTACATCCAGGAGGTTCGGGACAGCTCTCGATGCGGTACGACAGCTTTGGCATATACGTCCATTCTCAATCGGAGTTACCTCCTTTTGGAAAATGAGGCCCTAAGAAGGACAAAGCAAAGAAGATGAGGGTGCTCCCCCCAGGTTTGAACCGGGTAAACAGGATGAACTGAGATCTCAGCTGTTTTGTTTCTTTGTTTTTAAAGATTTTATTTATTCATGAGAGAGACAGAGAGAGAGAGAGCTCGAGCAGGGGGAGCAGCAGAGGGAGAAGCAGGATCCCTGCTGAGCATGGAGCCCGATGTGGGACTCGATCCCAGGACCCTGGGATCATGACCTGAGCCGAAGACAGACGCTTCACTGACTGAGCCCCCCAGGCGCCCCTCAACTCTGTTTTATTTGTCGCTGTAAGTGCTTCTGGTTTCCATGACCTCCAGTGTTCCACCTTTGCAGAGAAAGCGGGTTACCTTGCACGAGCCGGCCTCCTCTGTACAGATGAAGAGCCAATGCTGCCTCCAGGTTCTCAGCCCTGATGAGGTGGGCGATTTCAGATGAGCTTTCCAGGTCAACGGCATCTTTCAGAAGACATACATGGCCGGCAGCTTCTAGATGGTCCCTTTACCAAAAAATATAAACAGAGAAAGAAAAAGATGAGGGCAAAGGATAAATATGTCCCAGGTGGCTACTGGGATGAACATCTTAAATCAAAAGATTATTTAAATCAAAAAGTAAATAAACTCTATCTTCTGAATTGTCCTGTAGGGGCATCCCTCCTAAAATACAGGACAAGGCTCACCATCACCGGCAATAATGATTCGCCCACCAGTGTCCGGTCCCTGGGACCTCAGTGCGGAGCAAGACCAGTGGGATGAGGGCTAACACACCAATAATGTTCCGTGGCATTTGCTGGGCCAGAAAGCTCCTTTTTTAAATTTCCTTGATTCCACATTTTTTCTCCTGTCCCTTAATTATGGATGATACCCAAAGTTTGCTTTTAGGCATCTGAAATTCAGTTCTTAATAAAGACTTCCAGGGGCGCCTGGGTGGCTCAGTTGGTTAAGCGACTGCCTTCGGCTCAGGTCAGGATCCTGGAGTCCCGGGATCGAGTCCCGCATCCGGCTCCCTGCTCGGCGGGGGGTCTGCTTCTCCCTCTGACCCTCTTCCCTCTCACGCTGTCTCTCATTCTCTCTCTCAAATAAATAAATAAAATCTTTAAAAAAATAAAAAAATAAAAATAAAGACTTCCAAAGTCACCCATTATCATAGCTTCCAAAGATATTTGATGGCCTTTCCATTCTACCTCCAAAATATCTTTCAAGAACATGTCTTTCTTCTCATCCTGGTTTAGTTCCTTGTAACATAAATCTAAAATACAAATCTAATAAAAGAAATTTTCTGAATGATGACACAGCATGAGCAAAATCAAAAGATAGGTAAGAAACTGAGAAAAACTACTTAAAACACTTAACAGAAAGAAAGAAGCTAATTTACTTAATAAATAAAGAGCTCTCATAAATCAATAAGAAGAAGAAAAAAAAAAACAAGTAACAGCTTGATGGCAAATTAGGGATGGACCTAAAATTGCGGGCCCTCAAAAAAGAAATTCAGCTGGGCTTTTAGATACAGGAAATGGTGCTGGACTTCAGTCATCTTTTTTACATCGAATATTTGTAAAGATCAAAAGTCTGCCTAAGGCTTCGTGAAATAAACACTCCTGTCCATTACTCTGAGCGGGTAAACTGGAACAAACTCTTTGGTGGGCAGTGAAGCCGCAGCTAGGGTACTTCAGATGCACAAACTGTCACCAAACACCTCCACTTCTAGGAATCAATTCCCAAACTACCCTTGGATATGCGTGAAAAAACACACCCCCAAGACAAGGCTCTGCAGCTGCGTCTCACTTCCCAGACCGGACACAACCTCGGTGTGCGTCAGCAGGGGACTCGCTATATTAGGGCACATTCGACACCATCAAGCTCTGCCGCCGTCAAAGGGATGCAGGAGGTCGCAGTGAAATACAGCTGACGCCTGAACAACGTGGGGGTTGGGGCGGCACCCCTCCACATGCAGTCAAAAATCCACATATAACTCTGACTCCCCCAAAACTTCATTAACCGCCTCCTGCTGACTGGAAGCCTTCCCACTAACATAAACAGTTGATTAACACAGATGGCGCATGTCATACATATTATGTACTGTATTCTTACAATAAACTGGAGAACAGAAAAGGTTATCTGGGAAATCATAAGGAAAATATATTTATAGTCCTGTACTGTATTTATAGAAAAAAACTCCACATGTAAGTGGACCCATGCAGTTTCAACCCCGAGCGGTTCAAGGGTCAAGTGTAATTTAGAATCAACGCCAAGAGAACGTCATTAGTGAAGAGCGAGCCAAGTGAAGAGTATTTTGTGTGTGTGTGTGTATATATATATATATATATATATAGTGTGTGTGTGTGTGTGCACGGAATATCTGTAGGACACCTAAGAAATAGGCAGCAGTGATTATGTCTATGGAGGAGAAACGGACATGCCCTTTTGTGGGTTTTACGGACGGGCAGATGTTACATTTTACAACTGTTGGAGGTGTGTGTGCCCGTTACATCAACGAACCCACCCGGGCCTCCGGGGGTAGCCAGCTCAGCCGTCAACTCTGTGAGAATGGGGCCCGAATCTGCCTTGCTTCTTGAATGAACTGATGGCTGAATGCGTCTCTGGGATCAAGTCCAAACGCCTTAGCCGGGCACACGGTGGGCGCCCTTCACAGCCTGAGTGCCGGCCGCCCCCCACTCCACCCACCTTAGCTCCAGACCCGCTCTTCCACTCGCAAGATGCCCAGTTCGGCGTGCGTTCTGAGTGCCCGTGGCCACGACTGTCCATTTCTTAACGCGAGCTCCTGTGAGATCCCACAGCCCCCGCTCCCACCACACATCTGTCCCCCCACCACCATCATGCGGAGTCTCTCTCGCTCAGGATCCTTCACATCGCACTTAGGCTTCCATTACAAAGCCAGCACATAGGTGACCATCAAGTTCCCTGAAAATTACCTCGAGCATCTCTAAAATCATCCGGAAGTCGCTCTAGTACAAAGTCCAAATCCAACATAGCCCTTCTTTTTTTTTTTTTTTTTTTTTTTTTACGCCAGCCATAAAACAGATTGTTATTTCTTTAGCTAAACACCAGGTGAATTAGCTGGCTTGCATTTAGGGGCAATAGTGTACAAAGCAAATAAGGATAAGAATAAAAGAATGAAGGAGCTAGAATCTTCAAGCAAAGTGGTCATAAAATGGCCAAGTTGTTTGCGATGTGGGAGCCACACACAAGCTCAGGAACTCTTGAGGGAACAGCAGATTCAAACATCTTGCTCACACCCACTAGGGTGAGTGAGGAGGGTGAGCGTCATCACCTGCACTGCTCTGCAAATGATAATTGTTCTCTCTCTCTCTGTAATTAAATGCACAATGCTGCAGCTGTCCCTGGGCAAATAAGAAAAGTGGAGATCTTGCTTAAGCTATTGAAGTACAAGGAGTATCTTGATCTTATCATTTCCACTGTTAATGCTGATCAATCATTATCAGCCGGGAACACTGCCCCTCCCCACCTCACCCCACCTCAACTCTTCTGGAAGGGCTGTGAGCAAGGGACAAGCAGAGCCAGCTCGCATCAGCCTCAAATTTAGTATTTTACAAAAATAAGAATCTAGCCTGCTTCTGAGCATGGGTAATTGTTATTCCATTTTCTTAAAACTCTAGGAAATGAGAAACCAAAAACAAATGTGTTGATAAATGGAAAAGAAGCAGTTTGATTTCTACTTAGAGAATCCATTCCTGAGAGATTTCTGTCTTATGCAGAATTGATAAGATAGGACATATGGAATGGAGGTGGTTAGGTACACATAATGGGTTGTTCTTGGTCTTTTAAACATATTTCTAAATGGCATTTCAACACTAACGTTATGATCTTATAAATATTCCAAAATAATTTTTTTTAATCTTAATTCTCTATGACTAAGAGTTTACCCTTGTTTCTGGTTGACTTTTAATGTCTTTAAGCTGCTCTGTCCCTCTTCCTTCTTTAAGTGATCATTTGATTCAAATAAACTCTGTGAGCACCTAATATGTCCAAGGAGTTCTGGTTTATTTGAAGCCTTTTTTTTTTTTTTTAAGGTTTTATTTATTTATTTGAGAGAGAGAGAACACGAGCGGTGGGGAGGAGCAGAGGGAGAAGCAGATTCCTCGCTGAGCGGAGAACCCGATGCGGGACTCGATCCCAGGATCCTGAGATCATGACCTGAGCCAAAAGCAGATGCTTAACCGACTGAGCCACGTAGGCATCCCGACCGAAGGCTGTTTTGAGAAGGAATGCATCTCTCACAAATTAAGAGAACTTAAGCATTATTTGGCAGTTCTAGGAAGAGATGAACCTATCTGCACATGCCCGACTCCAGATTCAATAGGATTTACCTGCTTCCACCTGGCTGAAAACCATCCTCTTTAACTGAGGGACTAGAGAACCTTGATCATTTGTGTGTTTAACTTACGCAAACTTGCATAAACTGTGATGTCTGGATTAAAAAAATTGCAGGAGGAACTTAACGAGGGCAGGCGACACCAACTGCATTCTGTTCTATGCCCATGTGACCCTGCGTGACCCTGAGATGGGAACAGGGCCCTAGTACTCCTCGGGGCTGTCCCACCCCATGGGCCTGTCAGAGCGTGAGCCCCTGGCCAGGCCCAGTGACACAGCACCTACGGGGAGAAGCAGGGATGTGGTTTCTGGTGGGGGACAGTCGGCGGGGCTGGGGTAAAATGGTGCTCTCCGAACAGTATTTCAAGAATTCCTGATGTGTAAGAGAAATCATGCTGGTCTTGGAACGATGAGGGTGCTCATGAAGACGGAGGCCCTCGCGTGACGGCCTGCACAAATTCACAGGCTCCAGTTTGGAAAGGTGAGCTAGAGAGCACACTGCCCCCCACCCCCGTAACCTTCTGTGGGGTAAGTGAGGTAATCACACATCTGCGGGACAGCGTGCTACTTGGGAGAGTGCTGCCAATGTGTTTTCTAAACCCTAAAGTCTATCTACCTTTTAAATGGGATTCTGGTGCGCAAGAGATTACTGTGGTGAAGCCAGTCTTTTTAAAAGAATGCAAAGTTCCATGAGAAAACAGGTAAAATGACCAGATCAGGAAGTGTCCCAAGCCCCAGTGTGCTGAGATGGGGCTAATGAAGTGTGAATGGCAGGGGGTGGGGGGAGGCTAGTGAAAACCAGGAGGCGTGATGAGCTCGCCTGAAGAGAGATGCGCCAAGTGTAAAATATGCACACAGCTCACTAATAATTTCTGTAGTGAGGACATGTTGACATGATATTTGGAAATAGTTCAAAAGAATATATTACAATTAATTTTATCCATTCCTTTGTGCTTCGTTTAATGTGACCACTAGAATACGTAAACTGACAGGGGCATTCACACTCCGCCCCACTGCCGGTTCTGCCATTTTACCGAGAGGATTGGTATTTGAATTTCTATGGAAAACTTCCTGATTTTAATGTTCCCAAATGTATTTCTTGCTCCTTCGGTGCCAACATTTGTTATTCCCTTAAATCTTCAAAAGT